AAAGTGTCCATGGCAATCATCTCTATTGAGGGGAGGGGGACGTACATTTTGGGAACGGGGCGGGATGAGAGGGGGGGAGAGAAGGGGAAGACAGGGAAGCCAGCAGTGAAGCGTGAAGGAGAGAGCCCGCCTCGGTGTCATTTTTCTTTGATGTGACCAACGAACCGAATTGGGGGGTTACCAGTTGAGAGGGTATCAGTTGAGGAAGGCTGGGGGGCAAAACATGAGAGGAAATTAGAGGAAAACAAGGCATGTACAGTATGTACTGTAGGGGCGAGATCCTCAGCGACAATAATGTCGCACCTGTCTATGAGACGTGTTACCAGAGGTATGATAGACACACGCCGGAAGAGTACCGCAGAGAAAACTGAATGAATGAAAAAGCAAAACCGAAGCAACATCAGAGAACAAAGCGAGCAACCATTCCACCAACTAACCGACTCCATACCCCACCAACCCCCCTCACGTACATTCATATCCATCGCACAGAATGCCGACAGCCGCCACCGCCCTCGACGGGCTCATCCTGGCGCCCAAATCCAACAAGAAGGTCGTCAGTCCCGACGAGGCGAGAGAGCTGCTTCAAGCGACGGCCGGCCCCGACAACCCACTCACCGATTTCGACGACTGCGTCATCGATTACTTGATCACCGCCCTAGCCACTCCGAAAGCTGCCGAGGACGAGATGGTCCCGACCATCGCCCTCTTTCTCCCGGATCTCAACGAGTCCATCTCGCCGGAGCAAGCCGAGGAGGTCGCCCGCAAGATGCTCCGCACGCTACATGGCGAGCCCACCGTCGACCCCGGCCGCGACATGCCCACGCGACTGAAGAAAGCCACGCGCCTCGGTGCCGCCGTTGACAGGAACGTACGAAGGCGCAGGCCCATCGCAACTGGCGAGCTGCAGGGCGGTGGCAACGCCAATCGCACCCTCGATCGCTCGAAGGAGGCCGAGAAGGCGAAGAACCTTGCAGCTGTCAGGAAGGCGAGACGTGTTGGTGCCCAAGTTAGGACCTATCAGTCGGAGGCTACCGTCGGGAGCGTCAAGTCTAAGTACACTACAGGCTCAACCGATATCCATATCAATGGCCTGGATCTTGCCTTTGGTGGCATGTCGCTGCTGGAGGGGGCGAGTCTGAACATTCCCTATGGCCGGAGGGTTGGTATTGTCGGCAGGAATGGGTGTGGTAAGACTACGTTGATGCGTGCGATTGCGAGGAGGGAGCTGCCAGTGCCGGATGAGATGGACATTGTGTACGTGGAGCAAGAAATTGAAGGGAGTGATAAAACCCCGTTGCAGGTTGTCCTGGAGAGCGATACAGAGCGACAGGACCTTTTGGATGAGGAGGAGGCCTTGACGGAGGAGATGACGCTCGCGGAATCGGAGGGGAGGGAGCAGGATCCGAAGATCGGCGAGCGTCTCGCTGAAGTTTATAACAAACTTAGTGAGATGGATGCGGACAAGGCAAAAGCGAAAGCGGCTTCCATCCTGGATGGTCTCGGCTTCACTGAACAGGGTATGACCCATCAAGCCGTTAGTGAGTTTTCTGGTGGTTGGAGAATGCGTATTGCCTTGGCGTCTGCACTGTTCCTTGAGCCGAAGCTACTCTTACTGGATGAGCCCTCAAATCATCTCGACGCCATGACCGTAATTTGGCTCGGCGACTACCTGTCACGCTGGGCGCATACCATTGCCTGTGTTTCTCACGATCGCGCGTTTTTGAATGAGATTTGCACTGACGTTATCCATGTCAAAGACCACAAACTGCACATGTACAGTGGTAACTATGACGACTTTGAGAAGGCGAGAGGTGAGCGACTGAAAGAAATGGAAAGGACTGCTCAAAGTCAGGAAATGAAGCGTGCTCACGTGCAAAAATTCGTCGACAAGTTTAGATTTAATGCCAAACGAGCAAGTATGGCGCAGAGCAGACTCAAGATGTTGAAGAAGATGGACGAAGAACGCGTTGTTCTGCCAAGCGAAGAGGAAGAGTTCTCATTTGAGTTTCCTCAGCCAGGAGCGCTCACGGGCTCCCACGCGTCTGTACAGATATGCGATGTGACGTTCGGGTATCCTGGGCAAGAGCCAATATTCCGAAATCTTGACTTCAGTGTCAACACAGATTCTCGCGCAGTGCTTCTCGGGCCGAATGGAGCCGGAAAGTCGACGCTTCTGAAGCTATTGCTGGGCGAAAACACACCGCTGGATGGTGAGGTGAAGAAATCACAGAAAATTCGGCTTGGTTACTTCTCTCAGCATCATGTGGACACTCTAGTGTTGTGGCGGACACCGTTGGAGCACATGCGCGTAATGTTCCCAGATACTACAGAACCAGAAGTGCGATCGCATTTGGCGAGACTCGGTGTGCGGAATGAGCAAGCACTGCGACCGATCAACACGCTTTCCGGAGGTCAGAAGAGTCGTGTTTCGCTGGCAGTGATTACATACCAAAAGCCGCATTTGCTTATCCTTGATGAGCCGACGAATCATCTGGATATCGAAACATTGGACTCGCTGATCATGGCACTCAACTGCTTCAACGGAGGACTACTGGTCGTCACTCATGATGCCCGTCTAGTGACGAGTGTCTGCGACACAATACACATTTGTGAAAATGGGAAGGTTACCGACTTCCGTGGGGAGTACCATGACTACAGGAAGCAGATGGTGGAGCGATTGCGTGCTCGGTCCAAGTTGTTCAATATATAAAAAGGGAGCGTACGGGGCAAGGATAGTTTTCCCTCTCGTGACCAGGTTGTGCTGGATTGCCCTTTTATGATGGGACACCCAGATCATTCCATCGCTTTGTACTTCATTTCAAAGGTGTTGCCTAGATAGCACACCATCAGAAATACTGTTGGCATGATGTATGCGAAGACGGCGATGATACAGCATCTTTTTGTCGCTTTTGATAGTAGACTCAAAGCGGAGCGAAAGGCGTGCATGTAAGGTTACACGAGATTTTGCCAACATAACATCCGTGAGCCTTTCGACGCGTCTAATGAGAACTGCGAACAGTAGTTGTCAACCAGGTGTGATGTTTGAGCGGGTTCTTTGAGGTGGCATTTGATTCAGAGCATTACACAGGTGGACGGAGCCCCGTGAACAGTATTCACCAACACTGAATTGCGAAGTCATGCTTTTCCATTCTAGATGCGAAAGTCAGTTCAGCTAAGCAAGAATACAGATGAATGCATTTGGCCTCGTTACAACGCACCACCAATCGAAAGACGTTGTGTGCAGAAATGGTCGGGCGTGAACGGCCCTCTCAGGGCCTTTGAGGGTGTACTGTACCTTCGTACAGTACGCAAGCTTTGGCGTCATGACCGTCAACAGCTGCGATGGTAATCTCGATGGGGGCAGTCTACATGCAGCCTACCGCCCAGCAAGCAAATGCGGTCTGTTCCTCGCGTGGGAGCAATTGTGGGTCAGCGAGACTGTTCAATTTGATCCGCCTCCTTGTGACGTGCTAAGCAAACGCCACGTGTGCCATGCAATTTCTCAGCGCCGCTCTACAGGTTGGTACCCCCCAAAGTTGAACACTGTACTCTATTGTTGAACAAAACTAAAAGTGAATTTTATATCCAAGATTCAACATAATGCCAAAAACGATCAGATTTATGGCAATCCTGAAATGTTTAACTCGGCGTAGCTTCGCGCGAAATGCAAACAGGACTCTTTTGTCGCCATAATCGGATTTGGCGATGCAAGAAACACCTACATGACGACGCGCATTGCAAATAAATGCAAACTCGAGCCACCAGCTCATTTCCAAAACCACACACTGGCAGAAATGGGAAGGTCGCAAACGGTATCAAAGGCAGACCGACGCTTTGAAAAAGCCGTCGCTGCGGTCGACAAGCACGGCGCCAGTCGCAGGAGAGCTGCTACAATAGCTGGACTTCCACTTTCTACTTTCCAATACCAGTACAAAAGATTCCATCGTGTCCAGACGACATTATCGCGGACATATCTTCACCGCGAAGAAGAAAACGTCATCGTGGAACTCATCAACAAGTACTCATCGAGGGGATTCCCACTCGGTAGAGAGGACATACTCGATGCAGTGCAGATGCTTGTTCAATCTCTACCGGTACAGCGTCGTGCGAAGCTCCCCTTTATCAATTGCAGACCTGGCCGACGCTTCTTAAAAAAATTTATTGAACGCCACTCCGACTCTATCAGCTTTCGACGATGCAGTAAGGAACAAGAGGTGAGGTTCAAATCATGTAATGCTGACACTCTAACCACTCACTTTTTGGAGGTTTCACGCATCATAGATGTACACAAAATTGATAAGTATCGAATCGCCAACCTTGACGAAACAGGAATTTCCCCGAACAAGGATTGCCTGCAGTCCGACCGTCGAAAAAGTTTCGTCACTCGAGCGACTCGGGCACAGCTTCGCTCCCCTGAATTTAAGAACATTGAACGTGTGACAATAATGCCCGTGGTTTTTGCAAGTGGTTGTGTTGGTCGCTGTCTTTTTGTGTTGAAAGGGAAACGCCTCAAATACAGAGTTGTTGATGGCAACGACAGTGGCGAAATAATGGAAACGTTTGCAGATTGTTGCCCAAAAAACAGTATTGTGACTGTGAAAGAGGATGTAGCTGGAGTTGATTCTGTGAACTTTTACAATTGGGCAAAATTTTTTGTTGACGATTGCAAAGAGTTGACGACTCAAGGGAGGAAAGTACTTTTGCTTTTGGATGGTTATCGTTCCCATATGAGATTCAGGGCTTTAAAAATGCTGGAGGAGGGTGGCATAATTGTTTATGCGTTGCCGGCGCATACAAGTGGAGTTACTCAGCCGCTGGATGTGGGATTCTTCAGTCCATTCAAAGCACACCTGCGAAACCTTGTGGAAGGCCTGTCGTCGCCAATGAGCCACAACGAATACGATGTGTTTGATTTCTTGAAACTCGTGAGAACAGCATACGAAAAGGCATTTACAAGATCGAACATAACGTCCAGTTTTGCAAAATCCGGCGTCTATCCTCTTAATTGGAGAAGTCTGACCAACACGCCACTACCGTGGTCCTCTGAACACACCAATAAGCTTGCTACAGTACAGGATATTGAAAAAATGATCAACGAGAAACGGGTAAAACAGCGTCAATTGATAGGTTTGCAACCTGTTGTTCTGCGAAATGGTTTTGTCGATACCACAAATGGCTTATGCCTCACCTCGAGCGAGGCGCTAAGAATGGCGAGGGAGCGAGATGGTTTTGATACTGCGAAGCGGGCGGAAAGGAGTCGGAAGGAAACAGAAAAAGCCGAAAAGGACGCAATAGCATACGAGCGCACAAAACATGCTCGATTAGAATTCGAGAAGCGTTCGCTGCATGCCCGAGTGCTTCAATACGGCGTCCCGAACGTTTCTGTTCGTCCCATGCCATTGAGACGGCAGTCGGCGCGGAGACTCATTGCTGCGAAACGGGAATTTGCTGCACGGAACGCAGCACAAGACAGTTAACGAAATGGAGTTGACAGATCAGCGCGTGAGTGTCAGGAGAGACATTCTTGAGTAAAAAATTTGCATTTTGTTTGCACTGGCCAACCATTTGGCTGTTCAACTCTCGGGTGCAATTTTGCACAAATGGCGGTTTCAAACAGGTATATCTTTTCAAATATGACAGTCATGTTGAATCTTCCGCACGCCTATTGGCTCAAGTAGTGTGTACTGGGTGGGATTGTGGTTGAAATGAGACTACAATGGAGACCAGAAGTGATGCAGAAGATGTTTTCTCATTTATTTTTTTATTCCGTTCAACTTTGGGGGGTACCAACTTGTACACTCTGTGAGTGGTTGCAAACAACGCCGCTTCATGTTCCGAAGCGGCAGCTGCAATTTGCCAAGATTTAAATTCCGCTTCCCCACATCCCCTTCTGCGGCTTCGCAGTCCCGTCCAAAGAGCCACTACCTGCCGTTTCTCCCTCTAATGCCACATCGCTCCGCTTTCGCCACTATGACGCTCCCCGGGTCTGTTCTGCATTGGTTTCGCCGCGACCTCCGCACGGCTGACAACCGTGCCCTCAATCGAGCCATATCGCTAGCAAAGAAGTCCAACCTTCCCTTGATACCTGTATTCTTCCTTGATCCTGAGTACCACAATCCTACCGCCTGCGGTCCTTTACGCATGCGTTTCATCCTGGAATCTATCTCCGCCCTGCAAAGATCTCTTGACGACAAGTGCAGCTCGCGTCTTCGCGTCATTTGCGCCAGACCAACCGACGTCTTCCCAGATCTCGTCCGAAGATGGGGCGTGAAACACCTTGTTTTTGAATACGAATATGCGCCTTCGGAACGCGCGCGCGATGAGGCCGTCGTGGCAGATGTCGAAGGATTTGATGTGGATGTCGTCCGAGAACATGGTTTCACGCTGTACAACCCCAACGTCCTTCTTCAGAAAGCCAAGGGGGCCACAGCCCCAACCACGATGTCCAGCTTTTTGAGTCTTGTGGATGACGTCGGAGATCCTGAAAATCCTGTTGAGTTTGCAGATGGACGGCAAGTTGAGCTAACTTCGTGCCCTGATGCTACTTTAAAGGATGACGATAAGGACGGTTATCTTCTTGTCCCGAAGCTCGGCGACATTGGTTATGAGGATTGTACAAAACAAACAGGTTGGGAGCGCTTTAGGGGTGGTGAGGAAGAGGGTATCGCACGCATGGACGAATTCTTATCTCGAGAAGGTGGTAAAGTTGCAGCACGTTTTGCAAAGCCTAAAACCAGCCCTGCGGCATTTGTGAAAAGGGAGACCACTGTACTCTCTCCTTACCTTGCTCTCGGATGTGTAAGTTCGCGTGTATTTCATGCTCGCCTACGTGACCTAGAAGAAAATCATGATGTAGCTGAGATGCCCCAGACAAGATTATGGGGTCAGCTGATGTGGCGGGAGCATTTCTGGCTGCTCGCTGGCATGGTTCCAGAATTCCACCGGATGAACGGGAATCCTGTTTGTAGGAAGATTAACTGGCGGACCGGCGACGAAGCAGAACTTCGTCTCAAGACATGGGCGGAGGCGCGGACCGGTTATCCGTGGATTGATGCACTGATGATGCAACTGAAGACAGAAGGATTCGTGCACCATCTTGGCCGGCATAGTCTCGCATGCTTTCTAACAAGGGGGGATTTGTGGGTGAGCTGGGAGGAAGGTTACAAAGTGTTTGAGCACTATCTCGTTGATTACGACTACGCCTTGAATAGCGCTAACTGGATGTGGCTGAGTTGCAGCGCGTTTTTTTCCATGTACTTTCGAGTATACTCTCCAGTAGCTTTTGCCAAGAAATGGGACAAAGAGGGTGCTTTTATTAAGCATTATTTACCCGTTCTTCGCAAGCTCCCCACAAAATACATTCACGAACCGTGGAAAGCTCCGGCAATGGTGCAGAAAATGGCGGGATGTGTTATAGGCAAAGACTACCCGGAACGAATGGTTGACCACAGCAAGGCAAGCAAAGAGAACATTGCCAAGATGAAAGAAAACTACGCAAGAAACGAGTATGGAGCTGAGAGAGGTGAGCGCCAGCACATGAATGGTGAGTCCAGATCTTCAGAATCCCGCGATTCTGGCGATGGAACGTCTCGAAAAACGAAACGGCGAAAAACACGGCGATGATAATGGCAGCTGGTTTTTTTTTTTTTTTCGTTTTTGCCTCCATGCTGTATAGACCGAGAGACCTGGTTGACAGAGTCGCATTCAGGAGAATACGTCCCAATAATGGCCCTGGGTACCAGAGCCTGTGACCCAGAGCCATACAACTTTGGTCCCAACTACCAGGGCTCATGGCTCCGTAAAATCCTGGTTGACAATTGATTTTTCTGATATTCGCCTCAAACGGCACTCCCATTGGTCCCGGTGGTGGACCTTGTTGGATCCTGCAAGCAAGGCCTCAATGAAGGAATATTTCCATCCACCCTCGATCGGAGCTGTAATGCGATCCGGCATCTTTGAAAAGGTTGATGAATGTTTCTGAAGTTTCAAAGGTTCCCAAAGTGCTGCCGAAAGTTTGAGCAACTTTTTCTGCGAAACTCAGAAACATTCTGGAGACGTGCACCCTCGCATTAAAACGTTTGCGGAAATTTTAGGCGAAACTATAAACGTCCGTGCAAGTTTTGGAAAGACGTGGTCACAAGCATAACTGGACTTACAGTGACAGGTATTTCCCGTAGCGATTCCATCATGCTTCGTCCACTGTTGGCAGTGGCGCACCAATGATATTTAAACGATTAAAAATGCGCTACAACACGGCATACCAGGCGAGCTGAGTCATGGACCCAACACCAGGGGCAAAAATGAGACGGGGCCAGGGCCAGACGTCTCGGAGCGGATGACCGCGCAGGACCTATTCTCCTGATCGCGACTCTGACAATGAGGGAGGGTCTTAACTTGCCCGAGTTTGCCCGGGTTTGCTTGCCCCGAGCCATGATTTGCACTACTATTGGCTACTGGGCGTTAATATATGATTTGAAACTAAGTACGACCCTACACTGCAAGCTCAAGTTATGTCAGTGTGTAATGACAAATGTCAATCATATATTGGCTACTTTTGTAAGTTTGTAACTTTCGAATTTGGACGCTGTGCTCCGGTGGACGCAGTGCTTGCCCCTTGCCGAAAACATCCTCAACTCCCCCTTTGCAAAAATCTATGCACCTGCCATCTCGCAAAGGCAACCCAACTCTACGAAGCACCTCTCTGCCTACTACTTTCCTGAAAATGGCTTCCACACCTCAATGCCACGTGCGCCGTTCTCCGCGCCTCTGGCGCATCTCTCCGACTCCCACCATTCGGAAGACGGGGGCCACCAACGCAAAGTCTCTCAGGGTGACCCCACCGCGCCTTGCCCAAAATCGCAAAAAGCAGACAGTTGTCCTCCGGTAATTGGATCTACTATCTTTTAATCAAGCCGCGCTTTGGGGGAGGTGGTGATTCAGAGATGAACTCCACCGCGCCTGTAACACGATACATCTATCATATTCAGGGTCACCCCAATTAGGCTACAAGTATGTCGTAGAAATACATTTGGCGCAAAGAAGCAAGCTACTGCACGCGTCTGTTCCACAATTGGCGGCAACTTTTGCTCGTCACTTGCCCGCTCTCCATAATATGTAGGCTCCTGTTTGGGAATTATCAACTCGGCAAGTACACCACGCTTTCAATTCCTATTATGGACTCTGGAACTGCGCTCTCAGCAACGCACAGGGCAAGATTCTCCTCGTCTGACCACCCCAGTCCCTTACCCTTTTTCCTCACTCTTACTGCCGAGTCATCAGTCCTAGTAACCACCTCAGCCATTGCCTGCACTTCTCAGAAGACGAGAAGGAGGGAGAAGATGGGAAATGTCCACGAGCGAAGGCTGCACAACACTCCTTTTTGCGTCCCACACTATTGATGGGACTTCAGTCAAAACAGCCCCAAAGCCATTTGGAAGAGCTTTGGTAGAGCTGTAAGCACATGAAATTCAGATGTTTTCTGTACCGTTACTATAGAACGAAGCTCGCCCAAACGGCGCTTTGGACAAAAATCTCGACCAAATAATTTTGGTTTGGAAAAGAATCCTTCCCAAATTCTAAACTTTAGGACAAATCCTGGCGCGGTGGGGTTCAAAATCTCTTCCATCGGTCCAAACTTTACTCCATCGGTCCAAACTTTAGTAGTTGGAATTTTAGGACTGAAATTTTGTTGGCGGTGGGGTCACCCTCACTATTGCTTCCTCGTCTGCAGCGGGCGTTTCTGACCAAATATTATCCCCCCTCCATACGGTATGTACGACTGAATTCTTTGTCGTTAAAAATTCTGTTGGCTCTGACAAAGGTCCATCCCCGTCGGAGATCTAAGGGCTTTGTGAATTTTCGGGGTCGAGGATAGTTTGAAATAGCTTGGTGAAATGAAAGGAGGGAGAATAGAGCTGCGGTTGCGGTTAGTGCGGTCGTAGCAGTGATGATTCTATTGCCGTGCATTGCGTAGGAGTGATTAGATTGAGAAGAAAGGAGGGGAGGCGAACGGCGATACTGGGCAGTGGTTGTAGATCCGTTTTTTGACCAAACAGCGCCGGCGATAGATACGCTATCCCGCGGAGTAGTAAGGAGAGAAGTAGGGGGTAAGATCAATTATTTATCCCGGTGATCTGGGATCACCCGCAATGGCCACGTTCTGGGTCGGAAGCGAGCGACGCTGCAGCGTCTCGCGTCCATGTCGACGCGTCCCTCGGGCGAAGTTGTTTGACGCTGCAGCATGTCACGTCCCTGTCGATGCGTCCTCGGAGCGAATTTGTAGAACCCACGGTGTCCTCCCCGTTGTGTTCTGGCAATTTATGGCGCTGTATGCCTCTGTAAGTCAGCACCGTCGCTCTGGGACACCTGTCCACTACTAACGTAAGGGAAAGGACACCTGTCCACTACTAACGTAAGGGGAAGGCGTGTACTTACATTAATAAATTAATAAATGACCGGCAAACTCGGGCAAGCAAAGCAAACCCGGGAAAGTTAAGACACACCCTGAGGGTGTGTCTTCAGGGTGTGTCTTAACTTGCCCGGGTTTGCACTCTGTCTATTTCCGCCCATCACATCTTGTGATGTCGTGTATACTCGGCAGGGACTTTTACCGAATGGTGCTATGTAAACGTCTTCGGTTGGAACCCACAAGAATATAACGTCAACGCCTTCGATACAGTCAACGGTTTGAGTGAGCGTTGCAGCGAAAGGGGGGTAGAGCTGTTGTTGTCGCGAAATGTGTGACTCTTGAGGTGATCCGTACTTCCTCAAACAATCATATTATGCCAACCCCTACGAGTGCTTAGGCATCTGCCTTGGTTGCTAAATATTTCACTCTGGTGAGACTCGTCTGGTACAGTAGTTTTGTGTTGGTGATGCGCGGACGAACTTTCGCAACCAGCGCGAGACCAGCAATACAACCATACTGGAAAAGCGCAGTTATGCGCAAGCGGAAAAGATATTTATCATAGCGCGGGCTCATCGGTACGTGCGTACGCAAAGCTAAACTTTAGGCAACAGCGAGACTACACTGAAGATATCATGTGTTCTTTGTTTGTTTTTTGAGAGTGAGTCACTGCGATCAGCTGCGATCAGCCAGCAGGGTCCCATGGTCCATGCTATGGCAGCTCTACAGTATGAGAATAAAACGCATGTAATGCGTCAACGCTACGGATCCCTCGGAGCTTCTTCTCCATACTGAAAGTTGGACCGGCCTTTAGAAGGCCGCTTCCGGCATCATTGGAACGCCAAGGGACATTCTCAGGCCAGTGGGTTTCTGGTGACTGCAAGCCCTGTCGCGTCGACACATTCCCATGTGCGCAGTTTTATAAACCATGGGAAAGTCGTAACAAGCCTTGTTCGTCATTGGACCAACATGATCCAAATTTCACTCGTTTTGCTCGTGTCGTCTCTTTCATATTCTTGCGTAAGCTTTTATTACAAGTCTACCTACCTTAAAATGCTTCACTCTTCGCCGCCATTGACTTCTAGGACAAGTTTGCCTTTGCTTTTTCCACTCTGGAAGAAGACCATAGCTTCCCGTACGTCCTCGAAAGCGAACTTCCGCCCGACAAGCGGCCTCGGCAACTCCATCTGGTCTACTTCCTTAAACCCTCTCTTAACCAATTCCATTTCTGAGAAAAGTCCGGATACGTTAAACCCAGATACAGTTTTGTTGTCGTTGATCGATTGGGCCAAGTCAAGGCTAGGGCGACGCAGATAATTCAAAGCCAAAGTGATCAAATTCCGCCACCCGGATGGCCGAAAGATATTAAGGCCGCCACGCGGCATCATACTCGCGACACCCATCACAATATATCTCCCTCCGGTATTCAACAAGTTGTATCCAGGCTCAAAATTGCGGCCTAGTACAGAATCCACCACAACATCTAATCCCCCCTCCCCCGCCAGGGCCCTCTCCCTTACGACTTTTTCCAAGCCGTCCGCCGCATCATCCACCCCCCTTACAATAACCCTCTCCCTCGGAATGCCACACCTCTCTTTCAGCAACTTGGCCTTCTCCTCGTTGCCAACGGTACAAACTACGATGCCGCCAATGTGCCTCACCATCTCCACAAGCTGCAACCCAACACCCCCCGCCGCCGAATGCACTAACACGGCGCGTCTCGCCGATGTAACATGCCTGGACTGCTCCTTCGCGCTGATCGGCATAGCCCCCAGGACGCACAGCGCGTACCAGGCAGTGAAGGCCTGCGCGAGAAAGGAGGCGCCCTCAGCAAAGGACCAGTTATCCCTGAGCGGTCTGACAAAATCTTCCTCGACGTTTAGGACGGTCGCGTAGCAAGAGAAACGCTTGAGACCGATGACGCGGTCGCCCACCGCATGGGTGGTGACGTCAGAGCCGATCGACTCGACAACGCCACAGGCCTCGAAGCCGGGAGTGATTGGTGCGGGACCGGCCTCATCATACAGGCCAAGGACAGTGAAGCAGTCGGCAAAGTTCATTCCCACGGCGCGAACAGAAATGCGAATTTCGGTGGGGCCCTATTCATTGGTAAGCGAACACATCGCATGGCCTCATCCAGATGTGGTCAGAGGAGCTCCTGGGCGCAATGAAGGAAGGAATTGCGGGGGTGAATGTGAGGCGTACCGGTGGCGGGGCTGTAAACTTCTCAAGTTTAAGGTTGTTGAAGTCTCCATATGTATGCACAACCCAGCGACGGGCTTCGAGAGGCTGCGCCGTCATAGTAGTGTGAGTTCCGTGAGTTGTGGGGAAATTCAGTGGAGAGGTTGGCGGGTGCGCAGGTGACAGCGGAATGGGAAGAATTTGCTGGATGCGTGGGTGCGGTTTAGGGAAAGCAGAGTGAGCAAAGACACGGTGGGGGATGTTTATAAGCTTTCGACAGAAGGCCCGTGAGGATTTGTGTCGGAGAGGGAGAGGAGGGACGTAGGTGGTGAGGCGCAAGTGGTGAATCGTAACCATGCGTCCTACAAGACAAACACAGTGGGTTTGTCCCTGGTCTGAATCTGTGATGAGGCACACATGCTGTTTCTTTTGTCCCCAGGGTAATGCTGCTATCCTTCTCCCCCAGTGCCATGTTGATAGATGAATATCATGCAAATAAATAACCTCGGTACTGTACCCTTCGAGGGTACACCCTTCGAAGGGTACAAGGACACTTGATCTAACTCCCAACACAGGAAATTGCGAAAAGTATTGAAAAATAAGTAAGTATCTTCGGAATAATCTCTACACTACTATATTCTTCCTTCGAGAGGGCCCGAAACTCACAAAAACGTCTTATTTATATAATACAGTATTAACGAAAACATCACGACAGTGCAGGAAAAGGGGGTTCGAGTGCGTGTTGACAAAATTGTACACACACATGGGCCAGACCCTTTCTCAGACTCTTTCTCGGACTCTTTCTCGGCCTCCAGACAACCCCTTCTGCGCGGACAATCAGGCTAGGATAATCAGGCTGTCCGGAGCGAAAGTGCTGTACTCTGACTTGGAGATGAGCACATACTTGGGCACAAGTTTGACCGCCCATGCCGCCGGGAGACAGCGAGGGGTAAGGGTGGCCAGTTCAAGGCCTCGGCATGGGGAGGATATCGCAGTCGCGACCCGTCAGTCAGTCTACAACAATGCCTTGAATAGAGGATTGAGGAGTGTGTGGCGATGGCAGTATTTCAAGCGAATTCTACACTAAATTCTCCCTTGAAATAAGGCATTCGTGTTGGACGGTAGAGCACGGTAGAGCCACGCGGTAGAGCCACGCGGTAGAGCCACGTTTGTCATAATCTTCAGTCACCAAAAGCGATTGTTACGGAGCAGGAACAGATGTCCGTATCTTCGTACCTGCAAAAGGTGTGATGTTCGTATCTTCGTACTTGTAAAAGGTGAGCGGCAGTAGATCCTAGATGCTCTTTATGGACTGATGTGGCAAGGGCAGCAACGCGCAGTAATGTAGCCATGCGCGGAGAATTGGACCCCCGTTTCCCCAGAAATTTCATCCTGCAGCGCAATGACAGATCAACTTTTTCCGCTCGAAACCTGACTATTCCATCACGGTAGCACCTCCACCAAAACTCATTTATGTCAAGGCATCGCACAGACGTCTCTCCCCCGCAAATCGCATATGAGTTTCTCCTTGTCAAACCGAGCCACTGAAAAGCTCTCGCCATAGACAGACCAAGCACTCCGCATTTGCCCCACACATCAATCAAGCATTTCGACGCTACCTTGCGTCTCCTCACCGTCTCGAAGCAGATATCTGCAGCATCGTTGTTTCACTTCCTGGAATCACTTGCGTTAGTGATTGTTTTCCCAAGCAACACCGTCACACGACAGTCTGCAACGGGACTCTCTTCTTAAACGCCGCAATGTTCACAGCTCCAATATTCGTACAAACCTCCACGAATAATATCAGTACAGAGTAGAGTACTCTCACATCAATCCGCTTTGCGCAACGGTAATTCTATGAGTCTCATCAAGTATATCTACAGTATACTCAAAAAGGATGAGTTCATATTCATCTCGTGCAGTAAGCGCCTTCGATACCGTGGCATATCAAATTCCAGCAGTTTCCATTCGCCTCACCAATCTCTACATGACATTGAAGTATAGTATCAAGGGTACCGTGTTGTCATAGATTTCTTGATATTGCTCCAACAACGAACATGTTTATCAACTCCAAAATCTTCCAAATCAAAATGGAACATACTGCGTTGCTTGTTCGTCAACAATGCTACTCTCTTTTGCTTGCGCTTTCCTCATAGAAAATCAATAATAGCCTTTACTGTCTCACCTCGTTTCATATTCCGAGCTTGCGTTCTTAGTGCCGCTCGTAAGGTATCACTCTCATTACAATAGGAAATCGTTTCAAAATATCCATAATACAGGACAAAAAACACGTTGCAATAATATCTCCAGTACTTTGTCTAAGAACTCTTCGGGGTAGGTAGGGTCTACTGTGCGTTTTCCTTTCTCGTCCACCCTTTCTATTCATAATGCGTCGCCTAGCCAAGAGCTCACCGCTACACTGAAAGCAATAGAAAGGAGGATAGCCTGTTTCTCTCCGTATCAGGACGCCACCTCCGGCAGAACTCGGTAGTGCACGTGCGATATGAATATCCCGTGTCATGTCAGTGTGCTGTTTCTTACTGGGAAGCTGTCTCCCTCGTGAGGGAGACAGCTTCGGTTTCTGGCTTCGTTCCACATTACAGCCGAAGATATATACAAGAAGACGAGGGCATGGATTAATCCAACTGTCTGAAAGATATTTTGCCCGCAAAGATTCCTTGCCCTACTTAAAAGGCATTTGACTAGATTTTCGGCCCTCGCTCGCGCGGAACTGTGCGTACGAACAACTCCGGCCAGTTGATTAGACTTCACCCGATGATTTTATCGTTCCATAGTTGATATGCAGCTATGTCCGGCTATGAAAGCGATTAAGGCTATTTCCCTTCCAGGTTGCACGATTCACTTGATCGAGAGACTTCTTCGACTATCTCATGTCCGGAAAACGGGGAAAACGGCAAAGCATCGACTCTTCAGTATGTTTTTACTGTGTTGACGGTACACATGAAATTGACCCTGAGAAAGGAAATGCTGCCAACATACTTGGGCCACAATTACGCACAGGACAGGTGAAAGAGGTCACTATTCCCATAGATTACAACTTTTCCTGTTTTTCGAACTGTAGTCACCTTAGATCACGTTGGACGAAAGCCTCCGTCATGTTGTCTACGTCATGTTGTCTACGTCATGTTGTCTACGTCATCAATTCATTGATGTACTGCAGTCCTTAAAACCAAAATTCCCACTGGCACATTATTATTTTTATCCTTGTCACTTATTTTTCAAGGCGAAAACTGAAGGTAGCAGTATACTGTGGGCCCAGGGCCCACAGTATACTGCTACCTTCATGGTGCTTCAAAAAAAAGCAGGGCCTCAGAAAGGGTCACAAAAAGCATGACGGAAAGCATCACACAACGACAAGAACAAATACGTTTTCTCGTTGCTTAAAGCTTCAGTAACCCCTTTTTTCCTAATTCTGGAAGAGGTAAAAGGAGCCCACTTGATGAGCTAGGAAAGGAAGCCGGTTCTGTTCCCAAAAGTTGAATTCAGAATCTTTTCTCTACAGGCAAGAGTTTCTTCCCTCGACGCTTTGACAAGTCGCCGAGCCGTAGCCCCATAACAACAGCCAAGGCTGCATGATCCTCAGATAATTCTTTCAAGCGGACATACCAGATAAGAGATTACAGTAGAGCTATGCAAGTCGTTTGGTAGGTGAGCTACTGGACCGCGTCGGTAAGGTGAGTCGTGCTGTTGGAATGGCCACTCGGTTAAGCACGCAGGGGCTACTGTACAACATGAAGGGGGTTCATCCTTGCAGGCGTCCAAAAAGCTGAAAATCTCATATCCTT